CCTATTCTAATGAATTACTCCGATTGGTTGATCAAGTTATTCATTCTGACAATAGTTCTCTATGCTATAGAAAATACAGTCAGTCCTTGTCTCGAGAACTATCCTGCTTGTTCTCATGAGATTAGTATGTATATCGTAGTTAGATATTGTTTTTACTATGTAAACTATTGAAGTGTTCTAGTTGTCGATATCGAGCATTTTGAGGAGTTCTTTTGAAAAGGAACTGATGGACACTTCGATTGATAAAAACACACATATTTCATTTTGATTTGTAAAGTTTAGATTTAGAACCATTTTGTAACAATGCCACTGTCAGTAGAATATTCTGTTCATTTGGCAATATGAAAATTTGTAAATGAACAACAAAGACAAAATTGAATGTTGTGATGGCAAACAATAGCGGACACTTAAATTTACACTTTGATTGTTCTTTCCTTTGTTTTTTTTCATTGAAATTCATTCATACAATTGTATCATCAGTCAATCTCTATACATTGCAATAAATATTAGAAAAATTGTCATATTATAGTTTAACTCGACGCAAGTTTAAATGAGAGAAATAATATATATACATACTAAAATCTCACTTATTAAAAACTCTTCCAAACACAACAGACGAATGATTCAACCGATACTAAAAATATGATGCAAGAATGCATTTCAAAGACAACTTAAAGTACTTCCGACAGACTTCGATTTTGTTTTTGAATCTTAGCGGCTAGCTTAAATAATAATATTATAGCATTCTTCAATAGTCACTTATTTTATTGTTACATTCCAAAGTGCTGACAACGGAAGACAAACAATGAGAGTCAAGGGTTTTTTTTCACGCATTTTTCTTAATGTCTTTCATTCATGATCTGCTTTGATCATTTATGAACATCAGCTAGTTCTAAACTAATCCAAAATGGAAATAAATGAAGACCTTGGCGGCTCAAAAAAGTCCATAGCATGTCGAATATGCCTTGCAATCTATATAAAATCCGGTTATTTTTTCTGGGTTGCTTGTTATAGTCAACGACAAGACGCACTGAGTTCGATATTCTCTACAACTTATCATTCTACGTAGAATCGGCACTCAATGAAACACTACAAGAGCCACCCGATGGATTGATTGTGAATGAGAGTGCTGCGATTCGTCTCTATACGATTGAATGGGAAAAACCTCATCGAAGTCTCTATTCAATGCTTAATTACACTCTCAAAACGACGTCACGTCGAGAACTTCGACCTTATTTCAAGTATCTGAAATTGTTCTTGACTGCTCTCGTCAAGTTACCCTGTGTTCCACCACAAACAGTTTGGCGAGGTGTAACAAAAGATTTAAGTGCTGAATTTTCACCAGGCACTCATGTGATATGGTGGGCATTTTCCTCATGTACTTGTGCACTACCTGTATTAGAAAATAATATGTACCTAGGTTCGGAAGGTGAGAGAATTCTTTTCTCGGTCGAAGCAATCAATGGTCGAACGATACAAGCTCATTCACATTTTGTTACGGAAGATGAAATTCTTCTTTTGCCTGGTACACGCATGGAAGTTCAATCACAGTTTAGTTCCGCAGCTGGACTTCATATCGTTCATTTATAATGTTTAAATTCATTTGTTTCACTAATCATTATAATCTGTATTGCTGGCACGATTGTTGGTGGAGTACTTGGTTCAAGACGGCCACCACCACCTTCCAGTATGTTGCATTAGTTTTTGTCTCGAAAGTGTTCACCTTTTGTTGCTAATCTGAACTAGCAGAAAGTTGAGAAACTAGAAATTGATTGAAATAAAGTCTCACTCTGAATCTGATTCCGATTTTCTTCGAAAAATAATCACAAATAATAAGGAAGCATTTAGGACGCCAGTGTACTTGATCCTATTATTAGAATTAACTAAAGATGATTCATTGTTGATGAATATCATCTAATCCAAAGACTTGAAAAATCAAAAAAAAAATGACATTAAAATAATAAAACGAGCATAAAAATGAATGTGATCCAAATTCATCGATTAAAACAAATATTCTATTAATTTAATTTCATGATTTTGATAACAAATTAAATTCATTTCATCATCAGAAAAACCTTTTTTTTTCGTCTTTTTGATAAAATTCATTAGAATGATTCATTATTTTTTTGACTTTTTAAGTCTAAGAAATATTTACTGGTTCAATATTCATTCTTATAAGTGGAAACCTATTGCAAGGAAACCTTTTGGATTTGTCTTTGAGTTCTAGATAATGCTACATGAGTAGAAAAGATGGACATTATGGTCAGAAATCTTTATCATTCGATCGTAAGTAGAAAATCTTTGATGCTCACACAACTCTAGTGAAACTGTCCCTTAGAAAGCAGTTCTCTCAAGAGAAACATTTTTCGTCTATCGAAATTTCTTAGTGAGTTTTCATGAAAATTGAGAAATTTCAAGATCAAAAAAGAAATATGCTCTTGCCTTATTTTCTGCCCTTTGATAATAATTGCTCATCTATTTAGTATCAGCGGCGGATCTAGGATTTTTTTGATAAGGGGCGATTCGATAGACATGGGGCGATTTTCATCAAAAAGCAAGTTTTGAAGTTTATTAGTAGTGAAATGCACTCTATTTTTAAGACTTTTCTGCTGGGAAAATCCAAAAATTTTTGTTTCGAATGGGGGCGATCGCCCCTAGCGCCCCCCCCCTAAATCCGCCACTGTTTAGTATGTAGATCTCGAAGACTGAACCTGCTAATTGATTATTTTTGGTCATTTGATTGTGGTGATGCTCGAGAAGATTTGACCGGTTTGTACAATGGTACACTTGTAAATGATTCTGTAATCATTTCACCAGACTTTTCCGGGCATGGTCAGGCATTGTATTTGGATAGGAAAAAATATCAATACGTCATTCTTCCCGCTCATTAAATCTAACACTCAACACAAGCTTCACAGTGTCAGGTTGGCTTTTAATAGTTGGTTATCCGTCAAAAACTATTTTAAGCGACTGTAATAACTTCAATCCAATATGTATCAGTTTTATCATCACTGATACAACTATTAATATTCAGATTTCAAATTGGGATAATGTAACTATACTACAAGAAGTCTCTGTTTCTGTTCAAGATTATATTTGTCAATTGTGTTAGATCCATGTAGCATTCGCATTTGATCGGAAAACTGGATTGACTATTTTCTATTTCAATGATATCGAAATTGAAAGAAAATATTTGAATTTGATTTATGAAACCTTACCACGAGTAAACGAAACAAAATTGTCCTATATCGGATTAAATGCAGTGACGAAGGCGCTGCTCTTCTATGGTCTCATTGATGGTTTGGCTGTTTTTTATGCAGTGAAAAATGCCAGTGTAATTCTTTATGAAGTAACCATACTTTATCAATACAGATTCAATAGCGATGATATCAATGCCGGCTGAGGTCCAAATAATCTTCGAGCACGTAGTCAACATGTCTACCGATCGTTGAGCAACAACCAGAGCAGTCTTCTTTTCAATGATAGCGACTCATATTTTCAATCTACTGGATTCACTCTACTACAATCAAATATTTATGAATATTCGATAGCTTTTTGGCTTCGTTTAACAATACAGATACCAGAGACAGTTAATAGTGCTATAGCTGTGTTACAGCTAACATCTTCAATTCCTGCACTATCATCAGACAGCTACAAATGCATCATGAGTATACATGTTTACCCGAATAATCAGACTTTAGGATATTTTTTTCCGAGCATGTTCGAAGTATTGAATATTAATGGTTCATTCATAGGAAATAACACTTGGGTTCATATTGGTGTATCATTCGAAAGTCCCCAAATATATTTGTTTTATCAAAATGGTAAACTGATTGATAGTTACACACATCGACGTTTCTCATCGATGATATCTAGTGATCCACGATTTTCTATGACCGTCGGAGGTTGCATACTTGAATGATTCGGATCCGAACAAGCCTGACAATTTTAAACAAATGAAATGTTTCGCTAGAATTCCAGCTTTTAATTATACCAAGATGTATGGAAAAATGGATGATTTAACAGTTTACTCAAGAACCTTAGAAGCATTTGAATTTTCAGCTTTGGCTAAGTCTTCGATTACAGAGAATTCGACTGAAGAATTTTGACAGTTTACTTGAACTTGAAGTTTATCAGTAATTAGACTATTCTTTATTTTTATTATTATCTCGAACAGATCATGTTAATTTCGTGTAACAATTTTTTGCTTTGCTATGAACCAGAAAGTTTGCTCTATTCTAGATCTATAAATGTGACAGTTAAAACTCTTTGAACTCGTTTTCATAACAGACTTAGAACGATAATTGCAGTGTTATGTTTGACTAGCAACGTGTCGACGTTGTTCAACTAAAGTCGAACTTGATCGATTTTTGTTGACTATCTTATTTAGAAAAACATCATATATTGAATGATGTGTACTTGTTTTAAGATTTAGAAATATTATTCAAAATTCTTGTTGTAGGTTTTCGTGGTATATAATTAAATGTATGATTACAAAGTTCAGTTGATCAAGAAAATGACTCATTTAGTTCCTCAAGAAGTAATTCTTGGATATGCCTAAAAACTGTTATTGAGATTCTCTTTCAAACTTTGATATTGATGTACGATAAAGATCGTCCAGATAACAGATCTTTGATATAGAAATGAATAAGTTTATTATTATAATATTTCAATTACTTCTAACATTAGTAAACCAATGAAAACTGTTGAGGAGTCAACGAGAAATTAAATTTATCCTGTTTTACTTTTATGCTACGTAAGTCACTATCACCTTTAGTCTCTCTAGTGCTTTTAGCATGTGGTATGCAGATGTGGATTCAACTTATCTTTACCCAGACCCACACATGAAAGAGACTAAAAGGACTAACATGAAATCTATGCAAGTGACAGTAACTTTCATAGCATAAAAGTAAAATTGAACAAATTTAATTTTTCATGGACTTATGAAACTGTTCAACCTTGGGCACGCAGAAACACCATGATCAAGATTAGAACAATGTTTAAAAAATGGCATCGAATTCTATCGTTCGAATATTTTCTGACCAGAAAATTTTAAAGCATATAATTCGATTTTATTAAAATAGACATATCGGTTATTTTATTGAAAAAAAAACGAAATGAATTGAGAAATCAAGAAGATCAGAAGTTGTCTCAAACTAAAGCGACATTTCATAGATGTGGTATGACTTAAAGTTGTTTTATTCGATGAAATACATAAAACGATCAGTTCAATTGATTGTATCATAGTTGATAAAGGGTGTGGATATGTGGATAGGTACTTCATCTTCATAATAACACTCACACCCACGTCTAAAATTAAAAAGAACATCAACTAAAGCTCAAAAAAGTTACACGAATCCTGATGCTTGTTCATCATCAACAAATTGCAATTGTCGAATAGCATCGGCCATGTCGTCTTCAGTGATCATCGATTGATAAAGTCCGATCAACGAGTTCTGTTGACATGATAAGTTTGTCGCAACTTTGTCCTTGTTAGAAGATTGTTCATCTTTTGTTTCTGTCCTACTGTGGAAAAATGACTTCTGCCATTGAATGATTTTTTCGTGAATACTTGTTTGTTTGATATGAAATTTTCTTTCCTCTCAAAATAGAAAACATCGTAAAACCATAATCATCATTTTATTTTTTAAAACATCTTACTAGCCAAAAGAAATCAGTTACAAACAAAGAATATCAAACATATCACCTGTTGTTCTATTCGTTGACTGATGTCATTAATTGTCATAAAATGATGAACAAATTTCTTTTAGATTTCTCTTTTCGGACTCGTCAATATTCGTCAGTTGCAGTTCGTTTTGAAAACAGTCAAATCATTCATCTTTATTGAGAAATTTTGTATGATTCATCATCAACCCATTCATAACACAAGTCATGGTAATCCGATATGTTGGTAATTTCAAGTATAAAATGTCTCTTGTGAAATAGTGACTAACGTAAAGAAAGGCAAGAGTTGCTTGAAAATATTTGCTCTGCTTTCAGATGATGTCGTCTGCGATAATTTATTTCAATAGTGTTGGCTTATGCAGCAAATGGAATTTGTTTTTTGTAACAGAAATTTTTAAGACACTTATGAACTGTAGAAAACATCTCGTATTTAACTAAAATAAAGTTGAGCTTAGGTAGATACATAGAAGTAGCTCTTCTCACGAAATTCCATAGAGACTTAAGGAATAAGATGGTCAAATGTAATTTTTAGGTACAAAAACTAGAGAAAAAAAATTGTAGTACGTAACAGTTGTTAGCTTTCATTGTTTCTCCCTTAGTAATTTTCGAACAAGCTACAACTACGACAATACTTAGTATTCAATCGAACGGTCAACAAACCATGCTTGATTCTAGCAAGACTCTTGTCATATAAGTAAGTAGAATACAAGAATTTCTTATTGAGTAAACGAAAAATGTAAATTATTCGTCTTATACGCTAAATTCCAAAGAAATGAAGATTATTAGTTTTACTCTCTTAGACAATTGATCAAGAAACAGGTGCATTTTTAATGAAGAATCAAGGTTATGATAGACAAGTGATTAATGAAAACCTTTCATTAGTAATTTCGATAGGATTGATAGCATAGCTATGTTGAAACAGATAATATACACTTTTTTAATCAAAATAAAGAAAGTGTTGTTATTCAATTTTTAAATTTAAACGTTGAATTAAAATCAGTTGAGTTATAGAAATTACAAACTAGAATCAAATGTTTGTGTCATATTTAAAAAAAGAGAGAAACTCAAGTTCATTTTTGTGCCTTTCGATTCAAATCACTCTTCTCTGAATTATAAATCATATTAAAACATTGTATTTATAGTGTTGAAAGAGACTTGCTTCCTTTGTTACGATTATTTTAAGACTTTACTTAAACACTTACAGAAAACAAGGAATGGAAATAGTAAATCGCAAAGGAAAATTATTTATGAATGTTTTCTTTTGATTTTCAAGAAAAAGAAAATGAAATTCGATGATAATTATTATGGTTGTTGGGAAACTCATTCGGAATGTAAATGTACATCGGATAAAAAGATAGCCGTTCATATCCGCTGGATCGAAGTACCTATGATTGATAGTACTACTGAAGGTTGGCTTAATTTTGGTCGAACAGTTATTAATTTAGCTACAGCAGGTATATCCGAATTAGCGACCGGTTCGAATGGTAATCTAACACATGAAGCCGTTGAATGTCAATACCATTGTTCGGAATGTGGTAGCATCGGTTATTATACATTCGATTATTCCAATACAGGTAGATCCTAATAACTGACATCGAATTGCGATTTCCAATATTAATAAAACTCTAGGTAAAAGAGCACGCTGTGGAACGTATCAATACAAAAGCAACTGTATTGTCTCTCAAGTTGGTGAGAGATCTCTTTACCAAATTAAAAATATATGGTCAACAACGTGGCCAAATGATAATGAACATACTTATAGTATTTTGTATCATAATTGTAAAGGATTTGCAAAAGCAATGTGGGTAAATATTTAAAATAATCAATGACAACCATAAATTATATTAAGAAATTGGATCACAATCGCAATCGTTGATTCCATAAATAATGAAGAACTCACGCCTACTTTGTAACCGTGATAATTTAAAATAAGTATCTATCTACTTCGTTTTCAATTATACTGAAGTTTATATATATATATTTTGAGCTTGAAAAATTTCCTTTATTTTCCTCAAACTGTAAAGTCTAGGATCTATAAAGTTAAAATTAACATAAAAAATGTCTTTTAATTCGTGTGTGTATCTCTGCTTGACATCACCTTAATTTTGAATTCATTTCAAAATAGCATTTCGAGCAAACACGTCGAATTATATATCATGTGTATACATTTATTGAATTAAATAGAGGAAAATAGTTTATCTCTTCTACTGATAGACCCACACCTTTCTACATGACTCCCACGACTTTGGGAATCTTGCTGTTTCTTCCTTGATATTTCTTCTAGTGAATTCAAAGAACAAATAATAAAACTAATATAATATGATGCAATAGACGACAAAAAAAACACTCGATTTTCTGGTTAATAAGTAAGTTTTCGCAGTTTTTAAGTCATTGACAAATGAGATCGAAATAAACTTGTTCATATAACAAAACGTATGTTCTTTACAAAAGCAACTATTTCAAGAAAAAATAATCATAAGTATGAGTCCATATTAAATGATATACAATGGCATGATCATAATCAGTGTTTATAAGTTGAACTCGATTGAACAATTTCAATTCACAAATACGATCAAAGTTCGGCAATAGATGACACTTGAGAAAATAGAGGAATAGACATGAGAAACGAGAGAAATTGTGTTCGAACACAATACGTTGAACATGTTCCAAATTGCAATTGGTTACATCAATTAGAGTCAAATGACAATGGACAAGATTACAGGGTGATAGATGGACTACAAACAATTAGCCTGAAAACAAGAACAAAAAAAATTTGAATTCATCTCCTTCTTCCTTCCAAGACAATGAAATCGATAAAATAGCTTTTTGCCAAAGTTTTTATTATCAATGTTGGAATATTCGACAAAGTCATATATTATCGATTGGTTTATTTCGAAGTGAGAGACTGTCAATAGACAGAAAGATGGTTGTTCCATTATCAGTGTTCAAACATTGTACATTGACCAGGTTTAATAGATGACCTACTTCATTTCTTGCCTATGAAGGTCATGATAGAACTGTCGACTATGGAGTTCAAATCAATTTTGAAGTCTTTCAACTTCAATATCTACAACGAGAACTGAAGAACGAAACTCGTTGGGTGTGGGTGTAGGTGTGGTGATGTAACAAACACCCACATCCACATCCGCATTCATACATCTGTCAGATTTTCTAAAAGATATTGTTGTAACCTTTATTCGCGATAATACGACGATCGCTACATTGCCGAACTGCTGAATCCACCATGAGTTCTAAAATGATTTGTCATCTTGGTTTTTATGCATAACTACCATTGAAGAATTATTTGCTCGAAATCTCACTATTAATGCTGATCATAACAATTGTTACTTCACGTAAAAAATGGCAAACATAATCATAATCTTCAAGAAAATGAACTATTCTATCTAAATAAATTATTATGTTTTAAACGATTATGAGCGTTTTACAATTTTCACATAAACACTTTTTGGATGAAGAATAAAACTTGTATCTTCTAGTTCGAATTTTTCTTCCATTTGATCACTGGGATAGATCGAATATTGTCGAAGTAGACGTGCGAGACACAATTTAGTTTCCATTAAAGCAAATCGTTTTCCAATACAATTACGAGGACCTATACCAAATGGTAAATAAGCAGCAGGATGTCTTGGAGTTGAGTGTCGTTCAGGTAAGAATATATTTGGATCTTCAGGACCCCATAAATCAGGATTATAGTGAACAGACAACACATCCGCTTGAATGACACTACCTTTAAATAATATGAAAATATGAATAAAATAAATTTTACTTATAAACATCTGACCTTCATCTATAGTATGACCACAAACAACGGTAGTCCTATTGCATTCTCTTGTGGTGACTTGAGGTGCTGCAGGAAACATTCGTAAAACTTCACGTATGAACCAATCGAGATAGATCATACTGTGAACTTGATCATATTCATTCTTGTTTTCATCATAATTATCTAATTCATCTTGTAGTTTCTTTTGAACGAGGGGTTCTTTAGCCAAAATGTATGTACTATAACCAAGTGTTGTTGCTGTTGTTTCATAGCCAGCGACCATAAATGTTAACATATTATGACTTACCTCGTCATAATGAAGGAATTTTGACATGACAGCAACATCAGTATGATCCTAAAATGTTCGATTATTTTTGTTGCAATTAAACAGATAGACTAACCATGATTTCATTTCTCGTGGCAACATCGAGCATCAATTGAAGAAGATCGACTCGTCGGTTCTTACCTTCTTTATCAGAAGATGATGTGCGTACATCGATTAAATATTTGAGACGTTCGATAAGCCAAAACCGAGGTATCTCTTCAATACTTCGTATGAATTTGTTTGCGAAACGTTGCAGTAATATTTGTCTAGTCATCACATAAGTAAGTAATGGAATAAGCCACGGCATTAATTGACTTAATCGGACCAAAGGATTTTTATCGAAGTCGTATGCTACAGTTTCCTCGGCTTTCTTAAAATATTCATTGTCAATATCGTTCTGTATATCTGTATTGACACCGAATACAGAATGACCTTTTTTTCAAAATTCAAAAATAGAAATGAAGAAAAATCTTTTTTTCTACACATTCGAGTTATACTTACAGATCACGTCCATCGTCAATCGTTTGTAGAGCATGTAAATCTCTAGTTGTTCTCCTTTTTCGCAATATTCTGCTAGTTTTTTCAGTAAAGAATCAACACAATCATGAACCATCGGTGTCATCAATTTTAGTTTCGCTGATGTAAATGCTGGATTAATAACCTGTCGTTGACGATGCCAGATCGTTCCGATGGCACCGAATAAACTAGGTTTGTTTTTGCTTACTTGTCGCAGAACGAATGGTAGATGTCGTGAATGAAATGATGAAAATTGTTTAGTGAATACTTCTTGAAGAAAATCAGCATCGGAAACAATGTATACTGGACGACTGCCTTTGTATAAACCATAAATTGATCCAAATTGACGAGTCCATTTTTGCAATTGATCAGTTTTTCGAGGAGTTGACCAAATAGTTTTGGAATGACCGAAGAAAAAACGAAACGGAGGACAAGGAATACCGCGTTGTTCGAAATAAGAATAGCGAGATTTAATTGTCCATAAATACACGATTATTAATGTTATCAAACAGATAAGAAGAGTAGCTAATACGAACATTTTTCGAAATAAATAAGAGACAAAAAACAACTTTTCGTTAAACGCTTGTCTTTATACGTTTATTTTTTATCAGTTACTTTTATTACGCTTGATGATAGCACATTTTTTTTGTTTCTTTACTTGCAATAATTACGAGCGATACCTTGATAGAGAGGAGTGGTAGTCATTTATCATAAGATGCAAACGTTTCGATGATAAGAACACAATCGACAAAAAAAAATGTCCGTGCAAAATAACAATCAACAGAACTTACAGAGAAATATCTGGAATAAGCGAGAAAAGGAGGAACACGTATGAAGCATGCCCGCAACAATCACGAATGAGAACGAATATTCGCTTCGTCGTAGAAGGAGAATGTGAGTGTGTGTGTGTCGTCTTTTCGTCACCCATATCCACATCCACACCCAAAATTGAGCAAAGTGTACTTTCAATTTCTCGGAAAAATTTTTGAAAATAGATTTTTCAATAGAAACAGCAGCTGTGTTTTCTTTTCTCTGATCTTTCTCCTTATATGATCTCTTTTTTTCGTTTGTCTTGTTCTCATTCACATCGATATGAACCTATGTTCAGTTGATAGCGAAAAAAAAAAAAAAGGAATCTAGTCATATTATTCACGATGATAATATTGTAGTTTAATTCAGAAATAGTTGGATATTTCCACAAGATCTTAAACACACCGTACAAAAGTGATCCCCGATTTTGATAAAATTTCCACTATTTGTACAGTTGTTAATTCTAAGCATTTTGATAAAAAAATTTTTTTTTTAAAAAGCTTTTATTTTCACGAAGATATACTCAAAATCCTGTTATCAGTAATTATCAATAAAATATCAAAAACAGGTTTTTTACACAACCTTGACCAATGGTTTTCGATAGCTTTTTTCACTAAAACAAAGTTAAAAATAAAATCTAAGATCATATTCGGATTCCTCGTGAAAAAGGTGCATCGAATCATACTAAACTTGATTTGAGTTTCGAAAAAACTTGTGCCTCACAAATGGCTTGACTGGTCACCAGCTACACGAAAAAGTAAGCGAACGATGATTTCATCGTATTGATCACAATTGAGATAATCTTTCTCTCTTATTTTCAGCTTAAAACACTTCCATTTATATGTCAATCGATAGTTGTTTTGAAGCTATACAAAATGATAAAATTGCGTGAAAACGAGTTTTGGAGAAACATACTGAATATAGGTGCTGAATGATCACGGACATAAAAAAACAGCAATTTTTGCCTCAAGTTTGGTCCATGTCGATTAAAATCACTTGACTGCTATTCACAAAAATGACATATTCAGAATCAAAGCAAAATTCTGAATCGATCTATATATTTTTCAAATCATTCTGATAACTTTCGTTTTCCTCGAAAAACTTCTACTGGTTCCCCACGGTGATATCTCAAAAAATGAATTCGTTCAAAGCGCCGTTTTTCTCATTTCATGCTTTGGTTTTTCGACTTTTATCTAAGTTTAGAAAGTTAATAGCTCGTTTCTCATAGTCCATTTAATGTTCTCGGTGAATTCATTTTTTGATGTATCCCTATGGAGGATCAGGGGAGAATTTTTCGAGGAAAACGAAAGTTGTCAAAATGATTTGAAAAATACATAGAACGATTCAGAATTTTGTGCTGATTCTGAATATGTCATTTTTGTGAATAGTAGTCAAGTCACTTTAATCCATATTGACCGAATTCGAGGCAAAAATTGCTGTTTTTTTATGTCCGTGATCATTGTGCATCTATATTCAGTATGTTTCACCAAAATTCATTTTCACGCAATTGTATCACTTTGTAGAGCTTCAAAAGGCTATCGATTGGTATATAAATGAAAGTGCTTTAAACTGAAAATAAGATAGAAAGATCGTCTCCATTGTAATCTTAAGCGTCCACCCATCCGTTCTTTGATTTTGATCAATACGATGAAATCATCGTTCGCTTACTTATCAATGTCAAATTTCTCAACGAATGATGTATATCAGGATTGACAACGACATCAAATAACAAAAAAAATTTTACCAAAATAATCAGCTTTGAAAGCTCTACAAATCTTACAAGTTTCATTTCGATTAGAAGTAGTCATTCGTAAATACTGTATATCTCCGTCTCGGACTATCTCAAGGAATATAGGTGGAATAATATTATTTAACAATATTATCTCAATATTTTAACCGAATCAAAAGGGTGGAGAATTCTGAACTATCAAAATTGTAGAGCAAGTGATGCTCTATCGAATACACTATACCACTATATCGAGCAATTCAACTTTCTGAAATAATCAAGAGCTCCATTTTTCGCGTAGCGTTAGTCAATTATGATTTTTTTCATGAATTTATCTATATAAATAAAAGTTCGACAATGATTTACTTTTTATTTCGATGTTAATCGACTTTGAAGATAAGATTTTCATAATAAAAATAAAAATAAATTTGTCATCTCTAAAGAATTCTTATAATTATTCGTATTTTAGAACATTTTTCTTATAGGTTCTTTATTTCAAATATCGACTAAAGATCAATTAAATAATATTCTTAATGAATAATTAAATTGCCAATCAATGATAACTTACAGTTATAAGTAGTAAACTATGATTTTGGCAAGAATGTTGTTCAAAAAGAAGCAATTAAAAAAATATTTCGTAATTTTAAAGACGTAAAAATTGCAAAGTAGCCAAATACACATTGAATGCTACTTAAATGTTGTTCACATAGATTAAAAAGAAAACAATCAAATATTCCTAATTAAAAAGCTACTATTCGATTATTTGTACATGATAGATGTAAGACTGAAGTAGAATCTAATAAAATATTTATTTTATTATTATTACAGTGATATTTCTTTGTCAAGGATTGAAAACATCATCAGATATAAGAAACACAATTGAAAAATGATTTTTTTTCTATGAAATAATTTCTTAAGAATTCTTTTTTCATGGAAAAAAAAGATTTGTTCGAATAACTGTTGAATCTTCAGCATGATTTTGAATTCTAGTTGGAAAAAATCTCGATGATACAGAGACCATTAAGCAATCGTACTCCACATCCTGAAGTTGAAACAAAATATAAAAAAAAAGAAAATTTATGGCTTAAAACTTATGTTCGTAGAGTGAGACACAGATTAAGAGAAAACTTACTTGCAAAGTTGGAAAGAAGTGACCACTTGATTACTATCTATCATTATTTTACTCTTTCTATTTTATGACTGCTTACTGAAGTTGAAACAACAGAACAGAACGGAAATATCTATCTTCATCTACGAAAAAGTAGGGATATATGGCTGTTTCGTTTTATTACTATTTACATATACGACTCATATATAATTCAATATCGACGATTGCTTCATTTTTAAAGAACACAAAGAGCGTTTTAATGCCAGTACTGATTTTGCTTTGTTGTAGTTAATAAAGTTTGGCTAACAATTTGACTATTGTTATTGGCAAGTAAACCGTATCATTTTTTTTATTATAGAAAACCACTCGTTTTCTCTTATTATTGTGCGACATTTCTTCTTGATGTTGTTGGAGTTACTGGAAAACATTTTTCCTGAGACAAAACGTGAAATCTTCGAAGTACTTTGTTGTGTAGGTGTAAATATTCAGTTAAATATGTTAATCGTAGAGAAATATAAAAATCCTTCAATATCATATTGCTTTATCGTTTGAATTTTTTCAAGATACATTTATGATCATTTCTGTTATGTTTGACAAACAGCAAAATAATGTCTTAGATTAATATATAGACCAGGTCGATATCTTCTCGGCATAAAAACAAATAATATCCTATTGGCGAAATTCATCAATAGAACGAAAAAAAACCTTTTCACCTCGATTTCAAAGTGGAAACGACACTAGCATTTTATTTTAAAATCGAAAAATAGAGATACAATTGTCCTACTCTCAAAGTTCACAAATAGTAAATGATGATAAAATTCTTTTGTTTCTCGTCTTTTATACAGTCACTTAAAGTGAAAACTTCTAAATGAATAAACAGTTTGTCAGATGGAGTCTAGATCAGTACGATTAATAGTCATGTTATTTGTACCTTTATAACATCAAATTATGGAGTGACTTTAAGATGATCATTTTAAATGATCAGCGTAATAGCATATATACTGCATTATTGTATACAAAAGTTCATCCAATTTTGCTAATAGTCAGCACGCAATTAATAAGCATTTATTTGAAATTGAAGTACGTGAATGAGAGTATTCTACGTCAGATTGGGCTTTTGCGTAGGAAGCTATCAGTAATGTATCAAGCGTGCAGACAAGAGTGCATCATGCCCACTACCAAAAGAGGTCACTTACCATTGCCATTTACTTGGTAATGGTAATAGCGCCATTATTCATTATCAGAGCAGGTTGATAGAAAGGTTTTCTGGATCGAAAGCTCTGAATCTAAGTATTGTTTGCCGGAAACAATCAAACTCGAACATTTCGAGAGAAGATTTATAGATTCAGATTTCTTGACTCGGAAAATCTTCGATCAAATTTTATGAGAAAATATTTGTCCGCAAAATCGACCTCTTCTAATCAAAAAGATGAATTTGGACTTTAAATTTGATCTGTCAATCTAACCATTTACCTACCGTGCCAACTCTAGATCGATGCATCCCTTTACTATACATTGTAGACCGATAATGCCAATTGACGATACACTAGTGAACGACGCATCCTAAAGCAGCGAGAAGATATTGGGTTCACAGAAACGGTCTCTATTAACACTCTATATCAGTATCAATAGCTAAAAGGCAAAATATTCTGTCTTCTTTCTGAATTTAAACTTATAAGAACCTTATTTTATTTTCTTCTTATTGAATGTAAATTTTGTATTTCAAGAAAAAAACCATTCTTTGTGAATTGACATGACTCAATTCAAATTATCATTAACAAAATTAGATGAAATACAAAATCATGATGATTTCAGGGTGGTTTGGTTTTCTTCGGATAATAATTTGCCAAATGAATTAGCACATTTTGTTGATTACTTAGAGAAATATGATTCGTTTGAAACTTGCTGTAATTATATACAAGGATTTCAAAGTGACCGTATTATCATACTTGTTTTAATCGATTTTTTTGAATATTTATCGTATTTCAATAATCTTTTTCAAATTCAATCAATTTATGTTATGCAAAGAAATCCTCAAAATATGCAATATGAAGAACAAGAATATTCGAAATTAGTTAATATTTTTACAGATGAACAAACATTAATTGAACGATTACGTCATGATATTCTATTAACATATAGACATGATTTACCAATAACTATTTCGCGTTTACATGATATTAGAACTGAACAGTCTTTAATGAGTTTGGATAAAAATGAATATACATTTTTATGGAATCAAGCATTTATCCATTATCTTGTTAGTGATTCTAATGTAGACATGAATGAATTGAAAAAAAATATGATAGAACAATGTCAACTAGAATATTCAAATAATCAAATTCGATTAAAATCAATTAATGATTTCGATGAGAACTGTACATATGATCATGTATTAAAGTGGTATACAGGAGACTCATTTGTCTATCGACTTGTTAATAGATCATTTCGTACGCGAAATATTGATTTAATTTGCAAATTTCGATATTTTATCATACTTTTATATAAAAAACTAAAGGAATTATCGATAAAACAACAAAAAGAAAAGTATTCGACTTTTTATCGAGGACAAATTCTCGGTAAAAATGATTTAGAGAATTTGGAGTCCAATATTGGACGTCTAATATCAATGCATACACTTATGTCAACATCACGTAAGGAAGATGTTGCTCGTAAATTTATATCTGGTGCTGAAGTTGGGGTTATATTTGAAATTAACACTATAAGTGCAAGTGATAATATTCTTCATCCATTTGCTGATATTTCTCAGCTTAGCGTAATATCAGATGAAGAGGAAATTTTATTCTTTGCCGGTGCAGTTTTTCGTATTAATTCTGTACAGAAAGAAAATGATTCTACATGGATTATTAAACTTACTCTATGTAATGAAACAGTGGAACAGCTGGAACAATTTATAGATGGTGTCACAGAGCAGTTAACTTCTATAACATGTTGGGATCATTACTTTATGAAGAGAGATGATTGGTTTCTGTTTAGAAAATATTACAAAATATTAACAGGAAAAAAAAATCTATGGAAGGATTTAATGGCAAAGTTAACCAGTATTAATTTCTATTATCTATGTGTTATTTTCGGTGATTACGAAAAAGTTATAGAATACTACAGAGAACTTTTACACAATGAAGAATTTATTGATGATCAACTACGTATTGTTGTTAACATTCTGATTGGTTATAATTACTATCATCTTTTTCAATTTGATAATGCTTTATATTACTATAATATTGCATTTTCATCATTAGATGATAATAATTTATTAAGAGGTGAACTTTATATTCGTATTGGTGATGTATGGAGAATAAGAAATAATGTTGAAACTGCATTATCATGTTATAAAAAAGCATTAGAAATTTTTATCAATCAGGATGCTCCCTCTCGTGATGTGGCTAGACTCTGTAGAAAAGTATTTGATATCTATCTAGAACAAAATAATTATGAAGATGCCATTATTTATCAGGAACAAGCAGACATAATTGATGACAATTATAGACAAGAATCAGAGTTTGATATTGAAACATCATTGAAATATTTTCAAAATCAATTAGATAATCAATCTGATCATTCACCACTTCAACGTGCTAATACTTTATATTCAATGGGTCTATGTTTTATGAAGAAAAATAACTATTCTCAAGCATTAAAAAACCTTTTACAAGCGAAAGAATTGTTTGAAAAGCATGTAACATCGTACAATAATTTTCGCGATATATTTTCTTCTCTCTTTGAGAGTATTGCATTGGTTTATGCACTGTTGAAGGATAATTTCAATGCATTGATTATGTTAAAAAAACTTCATGATGTACATATGAGTTTTAATTCAGACTAGTGTTTGTTTTAAATGGAATATATACTATTTTCGAAACATTTTATCAAGACTTGATTGTCGAATTTGGTGTTTTTTTTTCATCTATTATTTATTAAAGCTTTCATTTATCAACTAATT